AGCACAGGTACCCTCTGGTAAATTACACCCCCCCCCAAAAAATATATATATAGAGAGAGAACCAAATAACCTGAACTAGCAAAGTTTTCAAGTACAAGGGGTCTTCCAAAGGTTCGTGGCGAGTGCACAAATTATGAAAAACATCTGTGTGTGGATTTCAAAAACTTTTTGCAGCAAAATGTATTTGTATTTTTAAGTTGTGTTTTACATTTTACTAATGATTATTTTTAAGTTTTTGTTATAAGACTTGTGCTCACCAGAGAAAGACAGAGACTGAGAAAGAGAATGTGAGAACGCAAGCAGCCAGGTCCAGGACTCAAACTATAGTCTGCCATGTGGGAGTCCAGCGCCTTAACGGCCATGGCACCTGCCGGCCCCACTACTTTTTCTTTTTTTTAGAGAGAGATTTTTGCACGTGCTCTCGCTGGAGAGACAGAGAAAGATGGAGAGTCATCCTCCAGGGGAGATAACCATGCTGCAATTCCTTCTCCTCCATTCTTCTCTCAGGATTTTGGGCACACACATACATGCGTCTGGCATGAGCTTTAAGTTGCCGGGTCCAGGACTCAACTGTAATCGATAACATGGGAGTCCAGGGACACAAACATTACGCCATCTGCTGGTCCCTTATCTAACTTTATTTATTTTAATTTGAACAGAGAGGGACAGAGAGAGAGAGGGAAAGTGAGAAAGCAAACTGCCAGGTCTGGGACTCGAACCACAGTTGACCATGTGGGAGTCCAGTGTCCTTAACCACACTGCCACCTGCCGGCCACCATTTACTTTTTTTTAATTGCCAGAGGGCACATGCACTTGCCAGAGAGAAAGTGAGAGGGAAAAGTACCCCTAGTAGGTGTGGTCACACACAGTTCTTTTTCCTTCATTTATGCATCCCATTGGGATTTGGGCATACACAGAGACGCGCCTGTTTTCAAGCTGCAGGGCCAGGTCGGATCCAGTTCCCTATGACCAGCCCTTAACCCTGAGCTACAGAGCCAGGCCTAAACTCGTGCTTTAATTTCATTTTTCCACAAACTTGTTCCCTTAATTTGCTCTAGGGTGCTCATGTTTGCCAGAGAAAAAGAGAGAGAGAGACAGGGAAAGTGAGAAATCACTCCCCAAGGGGATGGACACACCACAGTCCTTTCTCTTCCAGTCTCCTCTCTGGATGTTGGGCAAAACCACACATGTGGCTAGTGTGCCTTCCAAGCTGCTGGGTCTGGAACTCAAACTGCACAGCTGACCGTGTGAGATCCAGCTGCTTCATCCACCATGCTGCCACTCCACAAATTAAATAGTTATTGAAAAGTTATTTATTTGTTTATTTATTTTTTTGGAGAGGTTTTTGCTATAGGACACATGCGCTCACCAGACAGACAGGGGAAGACAGAGAGACAGAAAGCGAGAAATCACCCCCCAGGGGAGATGGCCACACCACAATCCCTTCTCCATTCTCTTCTCGGGATCTTGGACACACATGCACGTGTGCCCGGCATGAGTTTAAGCCACTGGGTCTGGGACTCGAACCGCAGTCAACTACATGGGAGTCCAGTGACATAGCCATTACGCTAACTGCTGGTCCCAAAAGTTATTTATTTTTTAACCCTTAAAAGTTTTTTTTTTTTCAGAATTACTTATTTGATTTTATTTGTTTATTATTATTCTTCAATTTGACCAGAGAGAGAGAGAGAGAGAGAGAGAGAGGGAGAGAGAGAGAGAGGGAGAGAAAACAAGTTACCAGGTCTGGAACTTGAACTGTGGTTAGCCATGTGGGAGTCCAGCTTAACTGCCATGCCATCTACCAGTTACTTATTTTCTTTAAAGAATTGTTTTATTTATTTTATTATTGTTATTATCTTTTAGTTTGATCAAAGAAAGAGAGAGAGAAGTGAGAAAGCAAGGCACCAGGTCCAGGATTCAAACCATGGTTGGCCACGTAGGAGTCCAGCACCTTAAACCACCACACCACCTGTTGCCCCCCCCCCATAGTTATTTTTTAATTCAAGTTAAAAATAGAACCTGAGTGGACTGCAGGTGGCGCGGTGGTTAAGGCAGCTGGATTCCCACATGGCTAACTTCGGCTTGAGTCCCAGACTCCGTGGCTTGAAAATCATGCTGGGTATGTGTGCATACCCAAGTCCCAAGAGAATGGAAGAGGAAGAATTGGCGGTGTGGTCATCCCCTCAGTGGGTGATATTTTACTTTCCCTCTCTTTTTCTCTCTCTCCTCTCTGACAAGCACATGTGCCCCATGGCAAAAACCTTAAAAAAGAAATAATTAAAAAATAGAACTCAGTGGGACCAGCAGATGGTGTAATGGTTACATGGCTAGATTCCCACCTAGTTGACCCATGGCTTGAATCCTGGACCCGGCAGCTTAAAACTCACACCGGGTGTGTATGCATGCATGCCCCACATTTCAAGAGGAGAATGGAGAAGGGTCTGCGGCATGGCCATCTGCCCTGGGGGGGTGATTTCTTACTTTCTGTCTCTGTCTTTCTGGAGAACACATGCACCCTATAGCAAAAGCCTCTCCAAAAAATAAAAACCATAACAAAACAAAAAACAAACAACTCAGTAAGAGCTTCTATCTTTCTATTACTACACCCCAAATCAAAGATTTAGTTTTAGCCAAATAATATCCATCATCTGTTACATTTAATGAAAATCATCATGTACTAGAATTTGGATTTTTGAGCTTATTCTTATTTTCAAATATGGCTACAAAATATAAAACAATGCATTAATTTCTGTGCTGTCATTCCCTATGATTTAGGGTTTTCTTTGGTGGAGCAGGCGGATTGACGTTCTATGCATGTCACACGGAAGGCACAGGACTTCAATCTGCCTGTGATCTTTGGGGGTTAGGCAAGTTCAGCTTTGGCAAATGTATAAACGAAGCTCCCTGTAGTGCTTTTTTGTTTGTTTGTCCTAGTATTTACACTGTTCGGATGAGTTTTGCTTCTTTGCTGGGAAGAGAAATAGCGGGGTTGTTGGGCAGAGTGGGCGTGGTGAACGGATTAGGGGCATGTGTGGTAGGTCACTCATGATCAAGGAGTTTCTTTTTCTTTTTTTTTGGAGAGGTTATTGCTATAGGGCGCGTGGCGCTCGACAGAAAGACAGAGACAGAGAGATAGAAAGCGAGAAATCACCTCCCAGGGGGGATGGCCACGCCACAATCCCTTCTCCTCCATTCTCCTCTCAGGATCTCGGGCACGCACACACATGTGCCCGGCGTGAGTTTAAGCCGTTGTGTCCAGGGCTTGAACCATGGTCCACTACATGGGAGTCCAGCGACATAGCCATTATGCTAACTGCTGGTCCCAATGATCAGGGAATTTCTGATTTCTTGTCTCTGGGGGTCACTTTACTAATCTCATCTTCCTTTTCCCCCTTTATTCGGTAGAGTGCGTGTGAGAGCATAAGAGAAAGGAGTCAGGGGGGCATCGTCCACAGAGGCTGGTCATGCTGTGACCCCCATGTCTGGTCCTCCAGCCCTTGCATGCATTCCTGATGTTTCAGGCTGACAGGGCTGAGGACCTGAACCGTGGTCACCATGTAGATCGGCCTTATGGATCTCTTGAGCCAGGTGTGACTGCTGCTCCAAATAGCTAGTGCCTTTCCGTTTTCTTGAGTTGCTGTTTCAGAAGGGCTCTTTTCCAGTGTTAGATCAGAATGGTGCTTTGCCTTAGCTCATTCCTAACCCATGTAAAAAACTCCGAAGACCCCTGTTTTACATAGCAGGGGGCTAGGGGCAGCCCGTTCCTCTTCTGTACAGTGCACACCATCAGCAAGTGTGATAAGGGATGCAGTTGGGAGTTCCTTTCCTTTTTTGAGTTTATGCTGTATGGTATGGCATGTGCACTCACCGGAGAGACAGAGGGAATGTGAGAAATCACCCTCCAGAGGAAGCTAACTGCAAGGTTGGCCAAGGGATCCAGCTGCCTTACCCTCTGCGCCACCTGCTGGCCCGCATTTGGGAGTTACACATTTTCCTGCCCTAAGTTCACTGCAAAGCTGCACGTCTGCATCTCGTGAGGTTGTCACTAGTGCTGTTCACCAGTACTCCTAGCACCTGCCTCTCAGACTTTCGGATTGCATTTCCTGGTCCCATGGCTGAGTGGGGCCCCTGGACTAGTTCTGGCCACCGAGTTGGGAGCAGAAGCCTGTGAGCTTGCTCTGTTGGGAGGGTCACAGCAGCTGTTGGTCTAGAGGAGTCTCACTCCTGCCTGTCTGTCTCGATGGACATGAATCAGTGCATTGCTCATTCTGATTAGAGGGATACAGACTCTTTCTGGCCTTGTGTAAGTTCCAAGGATTATTTCCTCTGGTTTTTTGGGGTAGTGTCACCCAGGTACTTGTGGAAGACTGTCTTCTGGACCCCTATGGAACCAAAGTCCTTTGGTGCTCAAGTCTCTCACATAAAATGACTCAGAACTGGGCAGTAGGTGGTGTGGAGGTCAAGATGGCTGGATATCCTGGTGACTTGAGAAACATGCCCGGTGTGTGTGCATGTGTGCCTAAAATCCTGAGTGAGGCCCAAAGGGCTTGTGGTGTCCCCCCCCCCGCCCCGTGAGCACACGTGTCCTATAGCAAAGACAAAAACGAAGGGTAAGAAGGGTAGATGAGGCAAAAAGCTAATCAGGGATGATTCTAAGTAAAAGACTATGTGGGGGCCAACTACACTTAATTTTCCTAACAGAAAATTTTTACAAGAAAAAGATTAAAGAAAGGCCAGTTGGTGGCATGGTGGTTAAGGTGCTGGATGGATCCCACATGACTGACTGTGCAGTTCGAATCCTGGACCTGAAAGTTTGAGAAATGCGCCAGGTGTGTATGTGTGTGCCGAATATCCTGAGAGAGACGGAGAAGAGGCTGTGGCGTGACCAGTCCCCCATGGGGATGCTTTCACACTTTCCTTCTCTCTCTGGCAAGCACATGTGCCCTCTAGCAAACTTTTATTTATTTTTTTTTAAGAAAGAAAACAGTAGTTCTGTTTTATTATAACATACTTTTATTTTCTGGCAAAATGATAAATCTAAATGGCTGAGCCTTGAACATACAGCTTAAATGTTTGCCTTCAAATGACCTAGGAGGCAAAAATTTGGTGTTTGGTAAAAACACACAGAAGTGTTCACAACCACATTAGAAAAATACTATCATCTGGAAGATTCCTCCTCCGAAGGTCTGCTCCAGCACTGTGCTTGTGCTGTCAGCGAGTTCTCCTTCCTGGGGCAGGAATCCTGTGCTGGGAGCTCACAGGCCAAGGGCTTGCTCTGCTCCATCACAGCCTGACACCTGGCTAGTCCCGAGGCAGCCCTGTCATGTCCACCCAGAAAGTTCTGGCACAACACAGCAGGGAAGGAAGGAGCCGCTGGAGCTCCACGGTCTGGCTGCCCTGGTTTGTCTGCAGAAGTTGTTCTTCACCTTTTCTTCACAAACTTCTTTCTGGAAGCGTTGGGGTTTAAGCGTCTCCTTCCAGCACCCAAGGTGCTGTCCCGGACCTGCAGGGTGGCTGACCGGCTGGAGATGTCGTTCTCTGCAAAGGGAGAGACCCCGGCTGTGTAGTCAGGGGCAAAGACGTTGGTCTTCTGCCTGGCCTTCCGGGAGAGTCGCAGCTGAGGGAAGCGCTGGTCCTCGGTCAGGTGAGGGTTGACAGCATACTTGCCCCCCTTGGGAGTGGGAAGTGAGTACTGCAAACGAGGGAGAAAACCGTTAGAGGAGCGGGGTCCACATCGCCTCTGCCCAGGTGCTGCTGACGTAAAGCTCGCCTCCCAGGCCCTGCCACAGGCAGTGACTATGGCCCGTGACAGACATCCTCCCCGAGTCTTGCCTCAATTCAGAGTTAGAAAGCAATACGGTATTTTCACTACACACCTGCCACTCAAAACAGGAAGAATTATGACAGAGGACTCTAAGCAAGTAGATGCCACTCTCCCATGGGCTGGGTGAGCAGTTCTGAACCACAGTGCAATTCTAGGGCTGAGCAAAAAAGTAAACTGTTCAGGGAGACGGTGTGAACAAGTGTTAATTGGGAAGAGGGAGCTGGAACACACTTTGTGGTTTTAGACTGAAATTAAAATGATAAACTGACAGATTTTTAAAGCAGTTAAAGCCGCAGGTGGCATAGTGGCTAAGGTGCTGGACTCCCACATGGTTGACTGTGGTGTGAGTCCCAGACTTGGGTGCTTGAAACTCACGCTGGGCACATGTGCATGTGTGCCCCAAATCTGAAAGGAGTATGGAGAAGATGGGATTACAGTGTGGCCACCCCCGGAGGGGGGCTGGTTTCTCACTTTCTCAGTGTCTCTCTGGCGAGCGCACACAGCCTATAGCAAAAATCTCTCTAAAAAGAAAAAAATAGCAAAATACTCAAATGAGCAACATCTCATGGGGCTGGAAAGACAGACAGTGCTCAAAGAATAACTGGGACGCGTCAGGAGGACACAGGAGCCAGCCTGAAGGGGCTGCAGAGCCTGAGTCTTTGGCAACAACTAGACTAGCTTTGCCTGTGTCCTCTCTGTTCGTTTTTTGAGTTTTTTTTTTTTTTTTGCTATAGGGTGCATGCGCTCGCCACAGAGAGAGACATAGAGACAGAAAGCGAGAAATCACCCCCCAGGGGGGATGGTCACGCCGCAATCCCTTCTCCTCCATTCTCCTCTTGGGATCTTGGGCATGCACGCACACGTGCCCGGCGTGAGTTCTAAGCCACTGGGTCCGGGACGCAAACTGCGGTCGACTACGTGGGAATCCAGCAACATAGCCATTACGCTAACTGCTGGTTCCCCTCTCAGTTCGTTTTTGACCCTGGTGGTGTCAGGGGAACGACTGACACACTACTCACGCGGAGGCCTCGGGGATTCAGCACTTTGGGGTTGCGGGAGAAGTGCATGTGCAGGGTGCCGTCGTCGCTGACCGTCACAGACACTTTCTTCAGAGTCCTGTTCCCACAGTGTGAACAGAACACTCGGCTCATGTCAGAGGTTGTCCTGGGGACACAAAGACACACTCTGGGTCGGCGCCACAGCAGCAAACCGCCCCCCAACTCCAGGAACACAAGGTGAGCCACAGGCTCAGAGAAGGGAATGACCAGAAATGGGAAAACTGACGTGCACTATACACACCATAAAGGCCGCCAGTAAGAAGCTCTGAGCACGGTCAGGCTCCGGTCTGCTAGTTTCACGAGGTTGGCACTGTTTTATGAGTGGGGAAACTGAGGCAAGTTAGGGTTGCCTGCCCAAGGTCACGGGGCTGGGGCATGGCAGATAAACCCCAGCAGTCTGGCTCTACAGTCAGTGCTCTACGTCACTGGACTGGTTGAGGGGCATACTACTGCAGCGGTAACCACCTGTCCCCAGATGCCAGCCCATGCCTGCACCCAGGAGGTGGCAAGAATTTATTAATGCACCATGGAAGAAACTGTAAAACCTGCCAAGGGTGAACTGGGAGTGGGCACTGAGGGCAGACCCCGAGGCCTGGCCTCTTTCATCAGCTCCCACTGGTGAGGTGGTACGAGCTGTGAGTGGTAAGAGAAGCCAAGCCCTTCCCTGGAGGTCTCCGAGAGTGAACTAAGCACCTCTGTGCAGGTGCTGGGCACTAACTACTCTGTGTGAGAAACTGTCCAGTCACGGGGCTAGTCTCACAAGAAACAAGAATATTTCCAAGCATTTCTAAGAAAAAGCAGTAACCTGGGGGAGTTTAGAACTTTTAAAATGAAAGACAGTGGGGGAAATGAGATTTTATAAAGCAGGAGCTTTACCATCTTTAAGCATTGGGAAATAAGATTCAGAAGAATGCAGAGACAGCTTTGAGGGGCTGATTAAGTCACTAGCTGAGCTGTAGAGTATGGTGGTAAGGCTGGGTCCCCAGGCCATGAGTGACTGGTTATTTTTAAGCATTCAGGGAACAAGGCAACTTGTTGGTGGCTTGAAAGTTGCCTGGTGCTTATCCAGGCAACTCCTCTCTCCACAATAGCTCTGGGGACCGAGAGAGACACCGTGGGGCTGCAGAAACGTTCCTCGGAGGCTCCATTAGTAAGAGGCTGTATCAGACCATCTACAAGATGGGCAAGACTGAAGCAGAGGAATGGCTGGAAGCCACCTGGCACAAGTTCCCAGGCCACACCTCAGGGGCAAGGCTTTAGTATAGTCTCCACTCCAAACAGAGGGATCCGGGATTTCAGGGACCTCTCGGCAGAATAGCAGCCCCCACAAGAGGAACCAATCCAAGAGTCAAGAAATGAAGAGAAGGAAATGCTCAAAAAGCTAACAGTTAACCGGAATGGAATACCTCCTATGTGTTAGATTCAACTAAGTCCTTCATATAATTTATACTGGTTCCTCTTCAATTCTAATTAAAAAGACACTGTAGCCCACAGCCTAGGAGTTAAGGGAGCTGGGTCCTTCATGGCTGACTACAATGTGAATCCAGTTGCATGTGGCTTGAAAAACATGTCAAATGCATGTGTGTGCGTGCCCAATATCCCAATGCGATGGAGAAATGGAGGAGGGATTGTGGTGTGACCACGCCCCACTAGGCAGTGTTTTCTCTCTCCAAGTGCACACACAACCTCTGGCAATTTAAAAGAATCTGAAGCATAGAGACGTTAGCCAATCACTGCAAAATCAATACGCAGGAGACAGAATGTGGATTTAAACTCATGTACTCTGGATCCAAATTTTTTTTTTTTGGTTATGTAGAAAATTTCAAGCATAAAGTAGAACACAAAGAGTGCTGTGTACCAACCATCCAGTTTCAGTAACTATCAGCTCGTGACTGAAGTTTTATCTCTACCCCACGCACTCCTTTCACGTGTATATTATTTTAAAGTAGATTTCAGACATCAGCTTGTCCATAAATGTTTCAGCATGTGTCAATAAAGAAGAGTGTTCCTGGTTCCAGAACCAAAATGTTTTTAACTCCTACCAATGAGGTAAGGTGGAGGGAGGCCCTGGCAATCTGGGACCTGATGGCTTCGATGTCCTGGTGGAGGCAGAACCCAGGCCACATAGCAACGATGAAGGAGAAGATGTGGGGTCTTCAAAGTTGATGCAAAATGCACGTTATAAAAAAAGATGTATGGGATTAAGAATGCTGCACCAAAATAAACTCGTATTTCATTTCCAATTTTTCTACAAATTTCCTCTAGCTCCTCATATAAGCAGGAGTCTCAAGAAGTTTGCAGGAGGGATAGAAGAGTGTCTGTCGGAGGGGCTACGTACTTGAAGCAGCCGTGGCAACGCAGGATGTAGCTCCGGGCCTCGCGGATCAGCATGCCGTTCACCGCCAGCACGTGCAGCCCCATCTGCAGCAGAACGTTCTACGGCCAACAAGTTCAAGGTCTGAATTTTCTCTTAAGGAGGATTTTGTCACCAGTTAAGGGAATATCAAGAGCACTGACTATCAGTCCTTGGTGTGTGCTAAGGAAACGCAGTGTGTGATGCCTTGCCAGGCGTGTGAAGGAGGCAGAACGAGGGCCCAGGGTCCTTTCTAATCCCAAGTTCTGGGGCCTCTGCTCAATACCTCACCAAGACCTACTATTAGCATTCGCTCCAAATAGACATTTATTTATTTATGTATTTACTTTTCCTTTCCCCTCCTCCCTCCCTTTTTTGAGAGGTTTTTGCTATAGGCACGTGTATGTGCCAGAAAGAGAGAGAAAGTGAGAAATCACCCCCCCAGGGGTGATGGCCATGCCACAATCCCCTCTCCTTCATTCTCTCGGGATCTTGTGCATGCATGCACACGTACCCGGTGTGAGTTCAAGCCACTGGGTGCGGGACTTGAACTGTGATCAACTACATGGAGTCCTCAGTGACATGCCATTACACCAACTGCTGGTCCCAGAGACATTTATTTTATCAGGGGCAAATACACTCATTTCTAGGCTGGAAATGCTCTCTACCTTCTCCAAGTACCTAGCTAAGCACAGAACATCATATATATGGAGAAAAATCAGATCACAGAGCCCAGGGCTGGCCTATGCTGGCACACCCACCTGCATGGCGAAGTCTGTGGTCACGCAGCCAACCCGCACATCCTCGGGGACGTCACACTGCTCCAACTCCCGCTGGATCTGCTTGATGTTGCTGGGGGTTATCCAGCCACCCCCATCGTCATCACTGCCTTCTTCTCTCGTTTCTTCAAACCCATTCTCTTCCCCTTCCTCCTCACTTGGGACATCCTCATCTTTGTCAATCTAAAACATAAAAGAACGCATAACTCTCAGCACAAAGGAGCAGCTGCTGTGTGGCTGTCGAGAGGTCGTCGGTCAGGGCCTTACCAGTAGCTCCTGCAGTTCGCGGTCGATGTTAGGCAGAGGGTTTCTCCAGAACATGAAAGAACTAAATTCCAGGTTCTCAGGCTCACCTGCTGGGTGTCCATGATCCACTGTTTCTTGTGGAGGTTTAGGGTGAGACTTAAAAAAATAAAAAATAAAACTGAGAGGGTTACAGATGAAATCATCCATGACATGCAAATCTAATCAGACAGGGCTGGACAGACTGTAATATTAGCCCAAGTAAATTAGACTGTCAACAGACATCATTTACAGAGATGTGACACGTGGCAGGAAAAACCATGAAGAATCCAGGTTAGCTGAGGGGTTACCTTGCAGGGCAGATGGAAACCAGAAATGTACAGAGGAGTCTCTGGGTGCTGAATGGACGAGCTCACTTTCACCTTAGGAAAAAAAAAAAACAAAGAAAGAATGACAGTTCAGAGTAAAAATGTATCAGGTCAGGGAAGTCACCATGCATTTTGACGTTCCCAATGACCCAACAGTTTGAAAATTCAACATGGGAAGGGTAGTTAACATTTTTTTTTCCCACCTGGATATTGAAACTGAATATATGTAATGTTTTTGTTGTTGTTGTTAAAGAATTGTTTTATTTAACTTTATTTGAATTTGATCAGAGAAAGACAGAGAGAAAATGAGAAAGCAAGCCGCCTGGTCTGGGACTTAAACCGCAGTAGGTCATGTGGGAGTCCAACATTTTTAACCACCAGGCCACCTGCCGGCCCCACATGTTAAGTTGAAAAGAAACTGGAAAAATGTAAAAAACAAAAACAAAAAAACAAACCCCTAAGAAAATGACAATACTTAGTAATCTCAACACCATTAAATAACTACTTCAGGACATTTACCATTATAAACACATCTGTAATAAGCAGATTACCTGTAAAACCTGAAGGGATCTTTGGTTATACCCTTAGGATAAATGCCTAGGGGTAGAACTCTGGGTCAAAGGATATGTTCTTGTTGTTGTTGTTTGTTTTGTTTTTTTGCCATAGGGCACATGTCCTAGCCGGGAGAGAGAGAGACAGGGAAAGTGAAAAAATCACTGCCCCCAATGGGGACAGCCATATCACAATCCCTTCTCCTCCATTCCCCTCGAGGGATTTTGGACACATATGGCTCCTGTGTGACTTTCAAGCCACTGGGTCAGGGACTTAAAATTGTGGTTGGCCAAGTGGGAATCCAGTGCATCCACCTCACCACCTGCTGGCTCTAGGATATGCTGTTTCAAAGCTTCCGATATAAAATATCTAACTCTTGCCAAAAAAGGCTGTAGGAAAAGGCAAATTATTTTTTTTGGAGAGGTTTTTGCCATAGGGTGCTTGTGCTCACCAGAAAGACAGAGAGACATAAAGTGAGAAATCACCCCCCAGAGGGGATGGCCACATTGCAATCCCCTCTCCTCCATTCTCCTCTTGGGATCTTGGGCACGTATGCACATGTGCCCGGTGTGAGTTTAAGTCACCAGGTCCAAGACTTGAACCACAGTCCACAACATGGGAGTCCAGCAACATAGCCATTACGTCAAGTGCTGGTCCCGAAAAAGCCAATTTTTATAAATCACGGGTTGATGGATGCCAATTAGAAAACTAGCTGCAAGGTACACTATGTTCCAACAGTCACAGAACGAGAATACATAAAACTATTCCCTTTACCCTCCACGCCCAAACATTTTGGTAACACCAAAAGTCACATTTTGGATTGGAAGACTCTAAACCTGGCTGAAAATAAGCAAGGGTAGTTCCAACTATTGGGTCGTCAGAAAAAGACATGATGTATTTTTCTTTCTTCTTTATTTTTTTTTTAAAACTTAAGTTATTTCTTTGGTTTTATTTATTCATTCATTTATTTTAATTTGACCAGTCAGAGACACAGAGAGAGGGAAAGTGAGACAGCAAGCCACCAGGTCTGGGAATCGAACCATGGTTGGCCATGTGGGACTGTCCAGCACCTTAACCACCATGCCACCTGCTGGCCCCCTCCCAATTTCTTTTTCTATGCAAAAACGCATCATGACTTTCCACATGGCCAAACAGTAAAGGAATGAGAGTCCACCACAGTTTTGATGACTTCAGGCAGAGATTAAGCAATTCTTTGTTAACACTACTAGAAATGAATAATACGTTAGTTATTTGGCTTCCAAATCCTATGGTCTAGAAACAGTCAATGGGACCCAGATGTAATTTATCAATCTCTTCCACCTAGCTAAGTCAGTAAATCCCTAAAGCACAACCTTGAAGATAGTAAGGGCTGGAAAAATAAATGGGAAACACTGGGCCAACCAGATGGCATCGTGGTTAAGGCAGCTGGATTCCACATGGCAACTGCGTGGTTCAAGTCCTGGACCTGGTGGCTTGCCATGTGCCTGTGTGTCCGAAATCCTGAGAGGAGAGTGGAGGAGGAGGGACTGCAGTGTGTTCATCACCTCGGGGGGTACTTTCTCACCTTACCACTGTGAGTGCACATGGCATAAAGCAAATTAAAAAAAGGTAAGCACTTTAGCACACTCACTTATTTCCAGAAATAATTATATTTAATGAAACAACGAGCCAGCCCTATAGTTAATAAGTTAGGGAGGCTAGAAATGGCCAACTGCAGTTCAAGTGCCAGCTCTGGTGGCTTGAAAATATACTGGGTGCACACATGTGCATGCTTCCAAATCCTGACAGGATGGAGAAACGGAGAAGGGATTGGAGCATTGACCATGGCCTGTTGGAGGGTGCTTTCTCCCTTTCTCTGTGTCTCTTTGGTGAGCACAAGTAAGCTCTGGCAAATTAGAAACAAACAGGGACCAGCAGATGGCATAATAGTTAAGTCACTGGACTCATGTAGTCAACCATGATTCGAGTCCACGACCCGGTGGCTTGAAACTCATGTCAGGTGCGTGTGCGTGTCCAAAATCTTGAGAGGAGAGTGGAGAAGGGACTGCAGTGTAGACATCCTCCCTGGGAGGGGTGATTTCTTGCTTTCTGTCTCTGTTTCTTCACTGAGCACATGTGCCCTATAGCAAAAAAACTCTCTCTTTAAAAAACCAAACCAAACCAAAATCTTGGGGCTGTGTGTCAGTACAGATGAAATAAGTTAGCCCAAGAGGTAACTGTGTTGGTAGAGTGATGAGGACACATTTATACTAGTCTACTTTGTACACCTATAGTTCCCCCCGATAAAAAGTTTTTTAGAAACCTTCCTGACTTACCTTTTCCGGTTCTCGTTTTAGGTGAGACACTCCAACAAACTCTGCCTCCAACTGGTAAGTGAGTGCCAGCACTTGGATGTCTGTGGCAGAGAGGCTGGGATAGTCTCCAGTTTTCTTTGAAAACTCAGTCACTGTAAACGAGAGAGAGTTCCAATTTTATTAAAGGCAAAAAGCACTGTGACCTTGGATAATCACAGTGCTATGAAAAGGATTTAGAAAGAATAAATACCCCAGGAAAAACCTTAAGACTTTCATCCACTCCCTGACTTTTTTTTTTTTTTTTTTGAGAGGTTTTTGCTATAGGGCGCATGCGCTTGCCAGATAGACAGAGACAGACAGAGAGACAGAAAGCAAGAAATCCACCCCCCGGGCAGATGGCCACACTGCAATCCCTTCTCCTCCGTTCTCCTCTCGGGATTTTGGGCACACACACACATGCGCCCAGCATGAGTTTAAGCCACTGGATCCAGGACGTGAACCGTGGTCGACTACATGGGAGTCCAACGACATAGCCATTACGGTAACTGCTGGTCCCTCACTCCCTGACTTTTTTTTACTCATAGTTGAGAAATTTGTATTCTATTGAGAAAATTGTATTCACTACCAAGATTCATGCCAGTTAGGTTTACTCTATGTGGCAGATGCGAGTGAAGGAACAGAACAAAATGAAAAGAAAGTCATGGCAAGGTTGACAAACTTGTACATGATAAGAATTCCTTATCGAGCTTTGGTATTATGTTAGAATAGAAGTGCTCTTCTCTCCCAGCTCTAAAATGCTCTGGTTCTAAATATAATAACCTAGGGTAACAGAAGACATGATCAGATTCCAAAATAGAATGAAAAGTGAATTCAACCAATAATTGTTCATATTATTTTTTAAATTTGCTATAGGGCATGTGAGCTTGCTGGAGAGATATAGAGAAATCACCGCCAGGGGAATGATCACACTGCAATCCATTCTCTTGGGATTTTGGGCACAGACATGTGTCTGGGGTGTTTTTCAAGCATCAGGTCCAGAGCTCCAATCGTACATTTGGCCATGTGGGATCTAGCCAAGCACCTTAACCACCATGCCGCTTGCTGGCCCAATATCAATCTTGGATGAAACAAATATTGGGTCGCTTTGTAACAAATAACTAACAGTTTGAAAAATGCATGTAGGAGGGCCAGCAGATGGTATACCAGTAACATTACTGGACTCCCACATGGCCAACAGTGGTTCGAGTCCTGGACCTGGTAGCTTGAAACTCATGCCAGGTATGTGTGTGTGTGACGGAGACCCAGGGAGAATGGGGAGAAAGGATCGTGGCGTAGCCATCCCATTCGGGCTGATTTCCCTCTCACAGTCTCTATTTCTTTCTCTCCCCAGCAAGCATATGCATACTAAGGTAAAAATCTCTATGAGAAATAAAAATGCACATCTGTACTTAATACATAGAAAAATACCAGTGGCGTCAGCAGGTGGCGCGGTGGCTAAGGCCTTAAGACTCTCACACAGCCAACTGCTGTTCGAGTCCTGGACCTGGCAGCTTGAGAATCATACCAGGTGAGTGTGTATGCATGCCCAAAACCCCAAGAGAATGGACTGCAGCATGGCTATTCTCCTCTGGGGGATAATTTCTCACTTTCCCTGCCACTGTCTCCAGCAAGTGCACAACCCCTATGGCAAAAATCTTAAAGAAAATACCAGCTGTCGTCACTAATCTCCTAAAACTTCCATGATACCGCACACTAATATTTTCTGACATAAACAGAAACATGTCTGCTACACTGTAACAAAAAGCAGTATCCTGTTCACATTTCCTACACATCAGCTATTAATTAACAATAACTACAATTTACCATGCACTGTGTTAAAAGGGTCTATCCCTTAATTCATTTCATTCTCAGCCAAGGCCTATAACCTATTAAGTACTATTAGCATTTCCCTAGAAAGATTGAGTAGCTCCATGGGTGGGAGACAGCTAGAGAGGTCACAAACTTGACAGACCTCCAACCCGAGGGCGTGTCCTGGGTACCATCCTGTTAATTCCTAACAGAAACAATGCTGACTCCTAAACCAAGAGAAAACTGTTTTCTCTCAGGTGTCACGCAAGGACTTAGAGCATCCCTTTTTCTGGATTGAGGCTGGCGCCTAATCTACTGAAAGAAATGGACGACAGTAATAAATTTGGGTTTTTCTATTCTGAATCCAAAATTACTGTGTGCTTCTAGAGCACTCTTTGAGTGACATGCTCATCTGATGCTCAAGCAACCTCGGACTAAATAGTAGTAGTAGTCGTCCCAATTTAGAGATGAAGTAACGGAGTCCCAGAGTCTGGGTGATACCCCCGAGGGCATACAGCGAGTTACCGGCAAGACTTGGCGGACTGCAGACCCAGGAGGCCTCTCCCACGAGGATTTCCTCAAACGCGCTGTTCCCAGCTCTAAACCTGCTGGGAAGGCCAGCCCCTCACCTGCACCCGAGCATGCCCGGTCTGTACCCAGGGCCCCAGCATCCCCGTCAGCGAAGGGCAGAGGCACTCACCCAGCCGAACGTACTCCGGAGAGGGCTCCTTGAACCGCAGCTCGTAGGGCAGCACCGCGAGCCGCCTGCGCGTGGCCTTGTCCCGAATCTCGCTGACCACCTCCCGGATGGTGTAGATGTTCTTCCCGATGTCCTGCGAAGAGACCGGCCCAGCTCACGCCCGCCCTCTCGCCCGCAGCAACGCACTCCGGATTTCGCGTGTTCCCTCAGGGTCCGCCAGCCCAGACCCTCCGATCTGCCGGGGTTCCTGTCTGTCTCGCTGTACCTGCAGAGGTGCGTCCCGCAGGAAAGCCCCGGCGTCTGCCACAACGTGCTCCACCGGCGCCATCTTGGCGGCCCCACACCGTACGCGCCTGCGCATGAAGCGCCCTACGTCGCAATCTAGGCCTCTGGGAACCGAGAGGCGCAGCCGCGGGTTAGCGGCGCCCCCCGGCGGGGGGGGGCTTAGCGGCGCCGCCGGGCGGCTGGGCTTGCATCTCCGGCTCGCGGCTGCCCATGCACATGCGCAGGGGCCAGCCCTGCCAGGGAGGTGTGGGCGGGGCCAAACCTTGGAGGAGTCACCTGAGAAAGCCGCTTTAGTTTCCCCTACTAGACGCCTCGCTTACTTTGTAAAACGTGTAAATATTCTCGCCTTTAAACGTCAGTGGACCTCTAATCCCAGGGGAATGGAGGAGCCGGGATTGCTGTGCGGTCATCTCCCCTAGGGGATGCTTTGTCACTTGTTCTAAGCCATCGCTCCGCCCTACAGGAAAAAAAAAGTCAGTGGATACGGCTATTCTAATTCAATGAGCACAATAAGCCTATGAGATTAGTACCAGTTTACAGGCGAGGAATGGTAGTTACAGCCAGGAGGCCCAGCTGCCATGGCCAGAAGGTGGTGATAACGTGGTAGCCAAACCAGCGGAGCCACTTTCTTACCCGTTTTGCTATACCGATTCCTGACACCCACTTCATTTGGTTCAATTTGGGGCCACAGCCTCTATTTTATTTATCTTTATATCCACACTCCACCTCCCTAAGCAAGGCTCATAATTTTCTTGCAAACAATTTTTTGTAGAAGAGAACAGAAGAGGGTTTTTTTGGAGAAGTTTTTGCTATAGGGCGCGTGGGCTCCAGGAAACAGAAAGCGAGAAATCACCCCCACCCCCGGGGGTATGGCCACGCTGCAATCCCTTCTCCTCCATTCTCTTCTTGGGATCTTGGGCATGCACGCACACGGGCTTGGCGGGACTTTAAGCCACCAGGTCCCGGACTCGAACTGTGGTCGACTACATGGGAGTCCAGCGACATAGCCATTACAGTGGCTGGTCCTGGAAGAGGTATTAAGTAACTTCCAATTTTCCTTTCAAATCTGAGCTTCTGCAATTACAAACTCTGGTGAAACGTGTCCTGGCAAATTTTGACTGAATGTTGACTTGAGCTTCTATCATCTGTCTTTACCCAAACTTCTTTCAAGGTGTCTTCCCTCCAGTTTTATCCTGCAATTGTGATTGCATTGTCTCTCCTTGCTTGGCCGCAGTGATTCTTATGATCCTGGTCTTCCTTCCTCTAGGATGGCTTCTTTCCCTTCTTCACGGGACTCCTACTTCCTTGCAAATAATGGTGTCGTTTCTCCCCTACCCCCCAAATTGTCTCAGCCCCTTTGTTCATCTAAGTTCTCTCCTTCACCAATAAGAACACCTCCCAGGGACCAGCAGTTGGCATAATGGCTATATCGCTGGACTCCCATGTAGTCAACTGCGGTTCAAGTCCTGGACCTGGTGGCTTAAATTCACAGTGGGCGTGTGTGCGTGCATGCCTAAGATCCAGAGGAGAATGGAGAAGGGATTGCGGTGTGGCCGTCCCCCCTGGGGGGGTGATTTTTTCGCATTCTGTCTCTCTCTGTCTTTCTGGCGAGCGCATGCGCCCTATAATAAAAACCTCTTAAAAAAAAAAAGAGAGAGAAAGAACACCTCCCAAACTCATATGTCCAATCCCTGTCTTATTCCCCAGCCCACTTTTTCTGGGAAAATCCATTTTAAAACTCTGGCATCTCAACCAGAAAGACGGTTAAACTGGGTAGGCCAGCAGGTGGCGTGGCTGTTACGGTGGCCAGATCCCACATGGATAGCTGCCCAGTTTGAGTCCTAGACCTGAGGCTTGAAAAAATCATGCCAGATGTGTGTGCATATGTGGTGTGTCCCCAAGATCCCTAGAGGAGAATGGAGGAGAAGGGCTTGTCACATGACCATTCCCCTGAGGGGTTATTTCTCACTTTGTCTCTCTCTCTGGCAAGCGCACCTGCCCTATAGCAAAATTTAAAAAAAAAAAAAAAAGAAAGAAAAAGAAAAGCAGTAATTATTGGGCCAGTAGGCGGCATGATGGTGGTAATGCCACTGGACCCCACATGACTAACCGTAGTTCAGGTCCCAACCCGGCTTCAAAAAAACGCTGGGTGCGTGTGTGGGATACCCAAAATCCCAAGAGGAGAAGGGATTGTAGCATGACTATCTCCCGGGGAGTGATTTCTCATTTTCCCTCTCGCTGTCTCCCTGTCTCTCTGGTAAGCACACGTGCCCTATGGCAAAAACCTTAAAAAAACAAACAATTATCTGCCCCCTGCAAACATTCTATGTTTATTAAGTGTTCCTATTTTTATTAAAGGCATTACCAACAAAAGCATTTGAGGTAGAACCCTGAGTCATCCTCATCTCCACCCTCACTCCAACCAGTTTTCTCACTAAACTTTGTTGACGCCACTCAGAAATGTCTGTGGTGTCTGGATCCCTTCCATATCCGTTCCCATTGCTCCAGTCGTTTTTATCTCCTTCCCAGAAAATAGAATCCGATCAACACTATTATTCTTGTCCCTAATTACTTCTCCAACTGATCGTCCACACTGACGTAGGAGGGGAGAACAGATGAGGGCGCCAGACTGCACAGTAGGGGCTTGTTGAAGTTGGTAGGGATCACCCCGTAAACCCTAAATGGAGACAGATGAGCCAGCTTCAGAATCACCTGGAGAGACTGTGAAAACAGATTACTGGGTTTCTGAGTTTCTGATTCAATAGGGCTGGCCAGGGCCTGATAATTTGCTTTTCTCATAAATTCCAGGTGATGCTGATGCAGCTGACCTGGTGGGCCGTCACACTTGGAGAACCATTGATTTTTTTTTTAAACGTTTTTGACATAGGGCATGGGTGCTCTGGGAGAGAGGCAGTGAGGGGGAAGTGGGGGGATGGCTACTCTGCATTTCGTTCTCTATTTTCACACACACACATGTACATGTGCCTAGAATATTTCTTTTTTATATGTATTTATTGTTTTAAATAATTATTTAACTTTATTCATTTATTTTGACTAGAGAGAGACAGAGCGAGAGAGCGAGAGAGAGAGGGAAAGTGAGAAAGTAAGCTGCCAGGTCTGGGACTCAAGCCATGGTCCGCCATGTGGGAATCCAGCGCCTTTTAACCACCATGCCACCTACTGCCCCACCCCCCCACAAGTGAGTTTGGAGCTGCCAGGTCTGTGATGTAAACGGGTTGACCACGTAGGAATCCAGTGCCTTAACCACCAGGCCGCCTGCTGTCCCTGAGAACCACTATTCTATGGGAATAGCCAGGAAGAGAAAGATTAGGATTTATTTATTCGGTAAATTTAAGACTACTTCTTCATGCAGACATTTACTTGGCATGTTGCCATTTCTGTAATATCTTTTGTAGTATTTAAACTCTTTTCTGTCTCCCTATTACAGCCTCCAAGCCTCCCAAAGCCTTAGAAGAACTCCCATTTATTCACCAAACATGGACTGAGAGCTAATTTATAACAGCATAGGCTGACCGATGAAAGAGCTATGAACACAGTGATATTGTGTGTAGTGCCTAGGGGCACCTTCAGGGCATATGAATTTGGAGTTGAATCTTGAAGGGCTCCAGCGGAAAGGCACAGAGATGTGAAAGTCTGAGTGTTCAAGGATTGCTTGAGGCTTGGGTAGCACAGACTCTCAGGCGAAGTGAGCCCTGGAGACAACTTTTTAATTTTTAAAAAGTAATTATTGGGACCAGCAGATGGCATAATGGTTACATCGCTGGACTCCCATGTAGTGGACTAAGGTTGGAGTCCCAGACCGGGTAGCTTCAAACACTGGGCACGTGCATGCCCCACATGCCCAAAATCCCAAGAGGATAATGGAGGAAAAGGGATTGAGGAATGGCCATCCCCCTGGAGGAATGATTTCTGCTTCCTGCCTCTCCGTCTTTCTAGTGAGCACATGTGCCCTATAGCAAAAATCTCTCAAGAATTATTTAATTTTATCATTATAAACATTCATCAATTTGGGATCAGCAGTTAGTGTAATGGCTATGTCACTGGACTCCCATGTAGTTGATCGTGGTTCGAGTCCTGGACCTGGTGGCTTAAACTCACACAAGGCACATGTGCGTGTGTGCCCAAGATCCTGAGGGGAAAATGGAGGAGAAGGGATTGCAGTGTGGCCATCCCTCCCGTGGGGGCGGGGGGGTTATTTCTGTCTCTCTGTCTCTCTCTGTCTTTCTGGCAAGCACATGTGCTCTATAGCAAAAATCTGTCCCCTCTAAAAAAGTTCATCAATTTGGTATAGGCATGAGCACTCACCAGAGGGACAGAGAAAGAGAGGGAATGTAAGAAGCAAGCTGCCAGGTCCAGGACTCAAACCTTGGTCGATCATGTGGGGTCCAGTGCCTCAATCACCATGCCACCTGCTGGCCTCATGGAGACAACTCATTACAGCTCTTGTTCTGTTTATATTTGTTTGTTTTATAGTTTGCTGTAGGGTGGTGCACTAATGAAAGAGACAGGGAGAGTAAGAAATCACCCCCTGTGGGGGATAACCATGCCACAATCCCTTCCCCCCTTCATTCTCCTCTTGGGATCTTTGGCACCTATGCTCAGTGTGTTTCTCAAGCCACTGAGTCCAGAACTTGAACCTGCAGTTGACTATGCAGGATGTAGCTGCCTTAACTTCTGGGATACTTGCTGGTCCCTTCTGTTTTATTTGTTTACTGTTTTTTTTTTTTTTTTTTTTTTTTTTTTTTTTGCTTTTTTTGCTTTAGGGAGCATGTGCTTGCCTAAGAGAAACAGAGAGAGAGATAGAGATAGAGAGAGAGAGAGAGCACGACAGAAACTGAGAGACAGAAAGTGAGAAATTCCCCCCAACACATGCAGGAGATTTGGCCATGCCGCAATTCTTTCTCCTCCATTCTCCTCTTGGGATTTTGGGCATGTATGTACACACACCCAGAGTATCTTTTAAGCTGCCCCAGGTCTGGGTCTTGAACCATGAAGTCGGCCATGTGGGACCCAGTCACCTTAACCATCACACCATTGGGTGACCTCATGCTCCCTTAA